CATAAAATTCAGTCAGAACATGACTCTTTCAGCAGTTACACCAACTCAGTCAGAGACTGCAAACTTGGATCAGCACATAAAATTCAGTCAGAACATGACTCTTTCAGCAGTTACACCAACTCAGTCAGAGACTGCAAACTTGGCTCAGCACATAACATTCAGTCAGAATATGGATCTTTCAGCAGTTACGCAAAGTTCAGCCAGAATTTATTAGAGAAGTGTGAAGAAGGTAACAAAGCCTGAAACTCCTTCAGAACGTACTTGGATCAGAAGGTAATAGGATTAGCTGATGGGGTAAAGTACTGAAGCAGGATCACTAAGTCCAGAGTCTTTAAAGACAGATTAAAGGAGCATACTGGAAAACTCTCAGAACTTGCTGAGACAGCAAGAGGCCAAGGTCAGAGCTTGGTTTACATTGTTTTTGGTAAAGCAGAACTGCTGGCTCAGGTTTTAGGTAATGATGCAAAACTTCCTATGACAAGATTTTTGATGTTGATAAATCTCATCACCATTTAATGCTCACTAATGCTCACAACCACTCCTGAACATTCATCTAAGGGGTCTCTCCACGTGTGGCTTGGTAAACACCTTTGTGCAGGTTTAGGCATGGGTCTATGTGCCACTTTTCGCCTATAGAGGTCACTTCTCCCCAATCCTTGCCTACTGTTCCAGCCTAGGCTGAAAAGCTGTCCATCATCACAACTTTTCATGAGCTTCCTTCAAAAACAAGTTGACCTCTACTACCTAATATTGGCGCCCTTCAACATTCAAAAATACACAAAACCTTGCCTATAAATAGGACACCATTATCCATCACAAAGGGGACGTGAGATACCATCCAGAAAAAATTTCTAGAGAAGAAACAAAAAAACTCTAGTAAAAAAAAACAACAACCTTGTGAATCTCTATCCAAAAATCCTTGGTATTTTCATAAACTTTGAACTTCCTACATCCAAACTTCATGAATACTCAGTTTGCTTTGTGACCAAAGAACATCCATACAGTTTCTGACCATACATACACATACCTTCTCCATCCACCTATTCTAAAAAGAACCTGTCCAGAATACCATCAGAGCTAAAGCTAGCTCACACTCACAGACTTTTTCAACAGCCAGGTAAGCACCTGCTGACTTTCATCACGCTGCTAAGCATCATCAGCTTTGCAGACTCAATAAAACATAATGTAAATATCATGTTGCTGCTGTTTGCGTTTTGAGGATTTCCATACCTCTGAATGTTTAAAGTAGGAAGTGAATCAGTGTAGAACCTGCATGTGACCTTGGTGGTTCTGTCTCCTGAAACACTTTGACATTTGATGAGGTTGTCCCAAGCATGTTTTCTGTTTTGTGGAAAAATAATAAAACTGCAGATGTTCTGGCTAGCACAGGGAGAAGCCAAGTTCTGACTTTGACGTTAGCACATCTGAAGCCTGTTTTGCTGTCAATAATATCAGAACTTCTGAAAATTATTGTATTTCCAGCAGGGTCAGAACTTCTGACTTACCCACTAACAAACTTTTGTCTTGCAGCGCATGGGGGTCAGAACTTCTGACCTTCCCACTAACAGGTTTCTGTTTTGCAGGTGCCAGAGTCATAAGTTCTAACTCATACATTTTCACTAACAGGTTGATAATCTTGCAGCAGGCCTGGGTCAGAACTTCTGACTTCCTCTCAACAGCGCGCTAGCCCTCTCTCTCTTTCTCTCTATCTCCCCCTTGTTATTTTCTTTTCTTATCTATTTTTCTCATTGAACCACCCCCATGTACAAATGTGTATCCCCATCTCCTAAATGTTGTAATAGCGTAGGATTTTACATTTCCGCATTTTATTTCTTTCAAATGTAAATGCTAGTAATTAGGATATGTATGCCAAGATAAAATCAACGAAATAGAAAATCCTAATTCAAGATAAACTCTTGCATGCAATAAAACACACTTGCACATAAACACCCCTTAAGGTATCTCCACTTGAATGCCTAAAAAAATGGGCCATGGTATGCATGCTAGGTATCTTGGCAAAACAAAAACAAAACAAAAGATCATAGTCCCTCGATGATGCTATCTTGGTTGCCTATACAAAATGATCTAGTCCCTCGGAAAATTGCCAAAGATACTTAGCACAATTGCTATCATGGTCTATACGATGACCCGTGTCTGTCCCGTTTAACATCCTAATACAAAGTTGTCTACCAAACTCAATGGTAAAACAACACTGTCAAAAGGGTTAAAAAACATAAGAAAGATCTTTGAGTAAATAGGGTAGATAGCTCTTAGTTACTTGATCAAAAGCTTGCAAAAACATCCTTTCTATTTTCAAACACACTTCACAACACAATTTTAAAGCCCTATTGAAGACTTTTTCAAAAGACAAAAACACCTTTGTATACATTCAAACAAGAATCATTACAAAGGTTGCCACAACGATGGCCTCTTTTCAAAACATCTTTCAAAACCATACACAAAGCACCATTTCAAACAAATTGAAAAGCAAACGCAAGTGATCTAAAACTAAGAGCCCATGGAAAACCATGGATGAAAAGGGTGCTAGCACCTTTCCTTTTCATAATCTACTCCCCGAACCCAAGAAAACATCTCAAAGGTCTTTCCTGTGCTTTTTGACCTTTCCTTAGGATAAAATAAAAAGTAGGTGGCGACTCTTGCTAAACCGAAACATTTGCGAACACAAACGCAAAACCTTCAAGTCAGTTCTCCCACCGTATCACAGTTATCTGTTGAGTACCTTTTATCCAGAACTTTTAACCCAACTACCAGAATTTGAAACCTTGAGAACATTATTTCAATGGTTTCATCTTCTTCCATTTTAAAGGCTTCATACTTCTTAATGAGCACAAGAGCTTTGGTTTCTTTGACTTGCGTGTTGCCTTCATGCGTCATACTCAAGGAGTCAAACATGTGTTTTTTTGATTCTCTGTTTGTGATCTTCTCATACTCTGTGTATGAGATATCACTCGAGATAATAGTTCTAGCCTTATGATGATTTCTGAAATATCTCTTTTGATGATCTGTCATTCTTTTTCTATCAATCTTCTGACTGCTTTCATCAACCGGATGTATGTACCCATCAGTCACCATATCCTAGAGATCAACGTCATGAGCTAGAAAGAAACTTTCAATTTTGTCTTTCCAGTAATCGAAGTTCTCACCACCAAAAATAGGAGGTTTGACGCTAATTATGTCTTTCTCATCATGGTAGTCATTGCTGATGTTCTGACTTGGTCCCACCATAGTGTTTTTCTTGCTTGGATCTTTTTCTGACATGATTAAGTGCTTGAATTCAGAACCAGGCGCTCTGATGCCAATGGAAGAATGGAAAAACACAAGAAGAGGGGTTTGAATTGGGGTTTTTAAAACAAAGAAAAGAACACGTTAGTTATCCTGGTTCATTTGAACTCAAACTACTCCAGTCCACCCGCCAAGGTGATTTCGCCTCTCTCAACGAGGTCTTAATCCACTAATCAAACTTTGATTACACAGCTACGATGACAGCCGTCAAAGTCTTCTTGAGTTTAAACCAAAATCCATTTTCTCAAGGAAATACACTAACAATATTTAATAGAATGTACAATAAGTGTTTTCTAATAAAACAGTATCACACAAGTGATGTTATACAAAATTGAGATTCAGTACATTTGAAGAAGATGAAGATGACTTGTTTGTTGTGCATAAAATTGTAAACAATTTCTCCTCCAAGCTTTGTTTAAATAGGCAACGAAAGGGAAAGCTTTTGGAATGTTGATCAATGATAGTTAAAGAGCTTTCCAAAAATAAAGATCCTTGTCCCCTTTCAGCCGTTACTGTTTGAATTGCATTAAGTGAATTGCAACGCTTCAGAACATGTTGTCTTTAGAAGATGAAAGTTACCGTTGCTTCTTTCCAGAACTTTATGGATCAAAAACACGGAGTTCCTATTTGCAGCGTTATAACTTCTTTAAGAGATGTATAGAATCAGAGTTGAAACAACTATCTAACTCATCTTCTGTCCTTCTTCCATCAGAACTTCTCTGCAAAATAGAATATTTAATTAGGGAGCATAATTATTCTTTGAGTGTTTGTTATCATCAAAACTCTTACAAGGATTGTTGAATCAAACTATGTTCTAACAAAATCGAATGAAAAAGTTAAACTTTTGTCCTTTTCCTTCTAATTCCTATGAATGAATGATAGTCAAGTTTACAAAGAGCAGATGAAACAAATCAACTCTAAATGTTCATCTACTTGGACCTCTTAGACCTTATGTAGTGAAATGATACTGCACTATGACAAAAGAGTCAAACTACTGACCTTTTATTATGCAGATGAATGGATAATAACACAATGATCAGATGGAAAATCAAATTCTCTAGTGTCCTTCCGATACCTGTGTTTTGCATGAAATGAAACCTGGAGACATCAAGATCAAATAAGAGTGTCCACTTTTACATCTTATCCTTTCTTGACCTCTACAGATGAATGATGATGCATTATGACTAAAAAGATCAAACTCTTGACTCTTTGTCATCAGATGAATGCATATATGCCATCTGGACCGTATGAATGTCAAACTCTTGAGTTCTCATCCTAAACCTAGATGAATGATTTGACTGATGAATGCATGACCAAATGCAATGGTCATGATATGTAGATGAAAAACCTAGAGTAAAAGTTAGGGTATGACAATAAATATTAATATCTATACTAGTTTGGTGGCTTGATTTAATGATGTTCTTTGTCACATACAATAGAATAATCATGTACTCCACTTAAATATTCAATTCCATGTCAATTTTAGTGTCAAAGTCTAGTTCGACTTATGATCCAATTACTATATGCTCATTATTCACTAGTGGCAACTCAATATTCAACTAAATCACCCATTGTTAAAAGATTCTCTTACAGGTGCACATGTTTTGCAATTGATATTTTTTTTTGGATAAATCAGCAGAATATATTGATTTCAAGAACAAATTTACAATAAAAAATCCCTAAGGCCACAAAATAAACTATCTAGTTATAGTTTTCCTAGGCCAATTCCTATCATTTATGCTAAGCTTATTTACATCCACATTATTACAACGATTTATAACCTCATCAATAATTCTTATAATACACCTATCCGAAATTAGAAGCTTGTGATTCCAAAGAACATCATTTCGAATTCTCCACAGATGGTACACCAAAGCAATATTAGCTGCAGAGCAAACTTCCAGTCTGAAAGTTCCAGTTTTACGTCTCTCAATCCATCTGATAACAACATCCAAATTATTCGATTCATTCTGCCAGAGTAACCAATCTTTTATCCCTTTCCAGCATAATTGGCTATACCTACACTGAAAGAAAACATGGTCCCTGGTTTCATCTTCAGTGCCACAAAGTAGACAGGTAGTAGTATCAACTATATTCATCCGCTTAAGTCTACTCCTGGTCTTCAATATATTATGTATAGTGAGCCAGGCAATGAAGCTATGTTTAGGAGTATTCCTTTTCGCCCAAATGGTGCTAGCCCATTTGATTTTCCTTTGAGGTCTTGTAAAAATCTTGGCAAACTTTTTAATGCTATAATCATTTGTACTGAAGACCTGTCAAGTTAGATATTTCTTTTAATGTCTACATCCTTCATCCCATAACAATAGATCTCAGTTTTATCCTTGCTGGCATAGAAACCTAAAGACCTGGAAAATAATTGAAGACCCTGCAACATAGTATAAATTGAGGCATAGTCCCCATGATAGAAAAGCAGAACATCATATGGAAAACTAAGATGGTTGAGGTTCATACTCTTACAGTTCTAAAAAAATTGAAATATTTTCATATTACCAACTTTATTCATGATCCTTGACAATTATTCCATACACATGACAAATAGAAGAGGGGACATCGGGTCCCCTTTCCTTAAGCCTATCTTAGAATGGAAGAAGCCATGTAAGAATCCATTGATCATGAGAGAGAACTTAGGAGTCTTGACACACTGCATGATGAGAGAACAAATTTTCTGAGGGAAATTGAGACCTATGAGCATCTCCTCCAGGAAATCCCACTCTATAGTGTCATAGGCCTTCCTTATATCAAGCTTTATCAAGCATTTAGCTTTTCCAATTTTCCTTCCAAAGTGCTTGACTAAATCCTGGAAGATCATAATGTTGTGCGCAACAAATCTCTCTTTTATGAATCCTCCTTGATTTTGGGCTATAATGGTTGGGAGAATATCTCTTAATCTACTATAGATCATTTTTGCAGCAACTTTATAAACAACATTGCAACATGTTATAGGTCTATAATCAATCACCAAGGTAGGGTAATTTATCTTATGAACAAGGGTGAGGGTTGTGGTATTAATCTCTTTCATCAAGTTTTCAGAATTAAGGAAGGAAAGAATAGCCTTACTCATATCTGCACCAATAATCTCCCAATTTTCCTGTAGAAAGTAGCTACTATAACCATCAGGGCCAGGGGCCTTCTTGCCAGGGATACTAAAGACAAATTTTTAACATCAAGCTCATTATAATCCCTAACCAACCAATCCTGCTTCTCTCGACAAAATTCCCCCCTGATTAATGATGGACTTACATGCTTTCAATTTGGTTTCTATAGGGGTACCAAGTAGATCTTCATAGTACATGGTGAACTCCTTAATGACTTCTCCAGGATCAGTTAACCAATCTCCTCCACTATTGTTAATGGCGCTAATTATATTGATGTTATTCCTATACCTGATGCTAGAATGAAAGATAATTGTTTTCTGGTCACCATCTCTAATCCAATCAATCTTAGATTTTTGGGACATCCTAAAGTATTTAAAAGGCTTATTTCCTCCAACCATTGAAGGAATAAGGGTTAGGATGACAAGGGTATGGTCAAAGGTCCCCACCTAAAGGAAATGGGCTTCATCCTTAGGAAACATGAGACTCCAATCTTGGTTGGCTAAAATTCCGTCAATTTTAGAATGAATCCTATCCCCCTTATTGCTTATTATTCCAAGTATAGAAGCTTCCAGTAGCTTTAACATCCTCAAGCTCACATTGATCGACACAATTCAGAAATCATCATTATTTGAGTTTATTTCTCTAACACCAATTCTCTCTTCTTTAGCCAGAATATCATTGAAATCTCCTAGGACAATCCAAGGATTATTAGTAGCTATTTTCTTCAATTCTTTTCCAATATCTCTTCTACTCACAACATCATTAAATCCATAAGCATAAGTTACAAGGAACTCCACTTTCAGATTAATATGATGCACTTTGAGATGCATACTTTGGCTGGTACATCTCAAAATATCCATAATGTAGACCTTAAGATTCCAACCAATGATTATTCTCCCTCCCTCATTCCACGTAATGTTGGTGGTAAAGCACTGCCCATAGAACATAGTAGTATATAAAGCTCCAAGGTTATGAGTTTTCACTCTTGTTTCAAGAAGACCAATAATCCCAATCATATATTTGTAGATCATATGTTTCACCTAAATTTGTTTATTATGGTTGTTGATCCCCCTGATATTCCAAGCTACAACTCTATCCATTGAAAAAAAGGGTTCCTCCCCCCCCCCCCCAATCTCTACAACTTCATTATCCTTTGAACTTTCCCCACCTTCATTACTTAACATATGGAATGGATTCCAAATTGTTGGTCCCTTAGGGTTCTGTCTTTCCACCTGTTTTTGTTTCACTCCATTCTACACCATCTGAAATCCATCATCACTCTTTTTTCCGATCTCAACCTTCTTTTACTCTACTTTCTTAGTTGCCTACTAGTGTTGCCTAGGTTTATGCTTTTGGCATTCAAAAGATTTATGTCCCAATTTTAAGAACAATAAGTATTTCTACATTTGTCCTTAATATTTTGATGATAACTTTACATGTTATCTTAAAGAAAAATTGTATACTCTAATGGTTTGTTCTAGTGTGTAGTTTTTGTTGTAAAATTCTGACTCTAGTATCAAGTCTTGTGACGTCATCAGGTTTTGAACATACACTACTGAAAGAAAACATGTGGTTACGTGTTACAGTTGAAGTCAAGATTCTGAATACGTCTTCTACAATGTGTCTTAGAAACATTAGTATAAGAGGTTCTGATCGTGACTTTATGGTTAAGCTTTGGAGGCCATCTAAAGATTTATTTCAGTAAGTTACAAAGTTCCAACCATTATGAAGACGAGGTTCTGCTGAACAAGTTCTGATGATCTGAAGAAAAGAAAGTTCTTACAACTAAGTGCTGAAGACAAGGTTTTGATAGGACAAGTTCTGAAGACTCTAAGACTTAGGTTCTAAGACTTAAGAAAGATTCTTCTACAACAAGCTTCAACGTTCAACGTTCAAATATATGAAGCCTTTGAAGATAAGAAGAAGTTCAAAATGGTGAACGTGTGATGAGGTACAAAAGGTACATAAATTAGTCTGTGACCTCTACCCTATAGGGTGTTGTAAGGACAATTACTTTTGTACTATACTGTAACCACTCTCATTATGACTGTTGAGAACAAACATCTGGATTTCTGATTACCTTTCTACCCTTTCAACATATCTCTTTTACAAGATATAAAAGGAAGACTTAGAAGCTGAAGAAATGTAAGAATTAACATTACACAAAATATTTCAGATTAAATCAAGCTTAAGCAAAAATACACCAAAGCATTGTGCAAACTCTTTAGAGAAAATCTTATGTGTATAGTTTTCTAAATAAGCAAGAAGTTGTTGCTCGTATCTTGCAGTAGAACACTTAGGTGTTTTTCTATGTACTGAAAAGTCTGTGTAATCTGCTTAAAAGAAGAAAATCTGTAATACACCGAAAGTACTCAATTGTTGTTGAATGATACCTTGAGAGACCGAGTGAAGGTATGATCCCAAGAAGACTCTTGCTGCAGTTTGAGTAGATTTGCAATAAGGATCGACAAACTTATTAGGGGGTGCCAATAAGGTTGATCAGAATTATTGTGAATTGTTTGAAATCAGTTTGGTTATAATAGATTATGTCCTTGTTAAAGACGAAATCATCCTTGAGGGGGTGGACTGGAGTAGCTTAGTTGACAACAAACCAAGATAAAAAGAACTGTGTTCATTTACTATTATATTCTAAGCTAACTTGTTCTGTCACCAACAAAAAGATTTAATTTGGTGATACCCAATTCAAACCCTCCCTTTCTTGTGTTTCTCACACCTTCAATTGGCATCAAAGCTCTGGTTCTGGTATTGATAGTTATCAATCACTTAACCGTGTCAAATAAAGATTCAAACGAGTTTTTTCTTTGAAGAAACACAATGGTTGGACCCATACTAGCTATTTCTGTATCAGATTCAAACGATAAAATATACAATGTGAAACCTCCCATCTTAGATGGCGAAAAGTTTGAATACTGGAAAGATAGACTAGAAAGTTTCTTTCTAGGTCATGATGTTGATCTTTGGGATATGGTAGTCGATGGCTACGTACCTCCCACAGATGATACTGGAAAGGAGATAGCTAGGAGAGCTATGACTGATCAACAATAGAAAGATTGTAAGAATCATCATAAAGAAAGAACCATCTTGCTGAATATGATTTCTTATACAGAGTATGTGAAGATCACAAGTAGAGACTCTGCTAAGTCTATATTTGACTCTCTCAAAATGAATCATGAAGGAAATGATCAAGTCAAAAAAACCAAGGCGCTGGCCTTGATTCAGAAATATGAAGATTTCAAAATGGAGGATGATAAAAGCGTTTAAGTCATATTTTCAAGATTTCAAATCTTAGTTGCAGGACTGAAAGTTCTGAACAAAGGCTATTCAACGACAGATCATGTGAAAAAGATTATTAGAAGCTTGCCATCTAAATGGAAGCCAATAGTAACTGCACTCAAGCTTGCAAAGGATATGAACAACACTTCTCTAGAAGAACTGATAAGTTCTTTAAGAAGTCATGAGATTGAGATAGAATAAGATGAACCTCAGAAGAATATAAAATCTATTGCGCTCAAGGTGATCAAGAAATCTGAGAAGTCCAAAGCTCTTCAAGCAGAAGTTATTGAAGATTCAGAAGGAGATTATGATGATGAAGAAGATGAGTTATCTCTGATAACAAGAAAGGTTATCCGTCTTTGTAAGAGAAATCAAGGCAACAGGTTTAGAAGTTCAAGAAGGACCGGATGTCGCTTCTAATAAACGTCTGGCCAAAGGAAGTCTAATGGCAATTAAGTCATTTGTTATGTTATGAATGCAATGAGCCAGAACACTACAAGTATGAATGTCCTCCGCTTCCAAAGGACATACCAAGGAAGAAATCTCTCAAAGGCAAGAAGAAATGGATAATGGCAACATGGGATGATTCAGACTCTTTTGACTACGACTCTGATGAAGAACATGCTAACATGGCACTGACGGCTTATGTTGGAACATCAAGTGAAGTATTCCCCCAGACGATAAAGATG